TTCGAGACCAAGTGCGTTGATTTTGGTTTAACATACTCATAGCGTTTTCCTGACAGGGGATCATTTATTTCATAGAATATTTGCTCGCTACACCGATCTTACTAACAACTCGTCTAAGGTAGGCAAAAGATTAAAGTTTAAACCTAAATAGAAAGTACACGGTTAGGTTACAACCGCATACAACCTATGCCATCCAAATAAATAAAGGTGACCGGTCTCTTTCCAAAAGTACTCTAAAATGTTAATTTAGAGTGAAATATTTAACCAAACATTACGCACGACCTCGTCCTGTTCGAAAAAGAGATGCGAGATGATACAAATATTAACTCATCAGGTGATGACGCAATTAGAAAATTGGATCATCATGAATCTAAAGTGGATGAGGAATAGATACATAGAAACACAGAACAACTAGAAAATCTGGGAACTATATATTACGATAGTAGTATACTTGCGAATCTAGACTCATGTCCGGAAGAGCATGATGTGGAAGGAAGCATGATCTTGACTCAAATACTACAGTAGTAACAGCAGATGTCCATATTGTCCCACGAATCGAAGGAAATGATGATGACATAGAAGATTGTGCCGAAGAAGAGGATATGAATGTGTCCGATTACATATCAATACTATCACACATGGATTAAATAATATATATGGAGGTATTACGTCTGAGATTAATTGTGTTCATAACCCACTGGACAATATAGATGTGAGGATGGCTGCCATGGATTCGAAACTAGACAACCTCTCTGGTGTTCAAGATAATCATAAGGAGCTGAACAAGAATTTTATGCATATAAGAACAAATATATTAGATATGCAAACCAAGATAGCGGACATCAATGCGTGTGTGAAGCAAGAGACCGTACAACAAGCGACCCTCAAAGGAAAAGTATACACAGCTTCAACAACCACTCAGGCTAAACCTGGAAGGGGAAAAATAGGGGTAGAACAGGTATATGATGTTCTAATGCGGAAATACTCTCCAGAATTTAAAGAAAAGTTCAGTGAGCAGCTATATCTCCCGGCTAGTCAAAGTCTTGACCAATCAGTTGTATCTCCGAGAGATCAACTCAATCTTCTTCAAATGATGTTTAAAGAAATTTCAGGAAAAGACAAAATCAGCATCGTTAGACTCTTCTTTAGTAGCTCTTAGAAAGTTGAACCTACATGGAAAGCCAACATAAAAGGGCATGCAGGATATACCGCGATGCGACTTTACTCATGTAAGTAAATTAAACAAGTATATACGTAGATATGTATGTACATACAATTAGTAAAATAGATATGTACATAGTATGTACATACATGTTAATAAATCGCATTATAGCAATATCCTTGCACTATGTACATTCGATTGTGATTTTATGCAATTGAAGCAATTATTAATTACAAAGTATGTTAAATATTTAACTTTTTTATAGGACCCCTGAAGACCCCAAAAATGCAATGGAGGCACAAGTAAAAAACAACAGTATTAAAAATGGTAAAATAAAACAGAGTTTTCCGATCGAAAAATATTGATTTTCAAGATTTTTATACCATTTCTACGAAGAGTAATTTTTTCCCCGTATAAGAAACATGGAAAACTTTAAGCGGTTTGAGCGTTCTCTAAATATTTTTATCTTGATAAATATTGCCAGCAATTTGGTACTTTGAAAGCTACATTTTTATATGCGCGATAACTGCGTGGCAGCAACATTATTGATATTTTAATATAAAAGCAAAAATTGAGCTGTTTTCTATTATAATATTTAGTATTATGTATTTAGGTGTGAAATACCATATTTTTTAAATTTTTTAAGTGATTAATCCGGCAGAAATAGCCGTCTTAGAAATGCTTTTTCAAGATAAAAAATGCCGACGACAAATATTACCTCTGATAAAATTTATGTCAGGCAATAAAAATGACAGTTGGTAGAAAAAAACTTTTGCTTGTGGAAACAGGCCGTTTTTGACCACCCTCATGTACATATGTACATACACATCGCACCCTAAAGCAAAAACAGTCACAACTAAAAAAATTGCAAAATAAAAAAACCGTATTTTTATATTTTTCCAGTTAAAGATAGTCAATAAGAAGAAGTTTTGGCGGATGTTACAGGTTTCTGTGAACTGTTTTATGGGAAAAAATAAGCTTTGAAAAAATTCGAACTGTTTTTTAGGTACATACTTATGTAAAACACTAAAACGGCGTTTATGTAAGTAGATTCGGATTGGTTACCCAGATTAATTACGTTAGTTTCCTTTTTTGATTAAATATGATTTTGGGCTTCCATAAATACATATGTACATTCTTGAAAATTAATGACATTATCTACCTACGTTCAGACATATGGCTAGCATTTTCAATTATCTTACATTGCGCAGCTACTTTGTGGCAAAAGGAAATATTACATACAATTTTTCATAAAATGCAGACTTATTTAATATCGTATGCATATTTTGAAAATATCTAAATATTTAAAATTCCCTTATTGTCACTATATAAAGTAATTGTTATTTACTTTAGATTGCCATAGAACTATTTATCATCATTCCCATTTGGTAATTGTACCAATCTACAAAATGCATTCATACATGTATGTATGTACATATTTGGAAGCACTTTGAGATACCTATCTACTTATATATAATGTACATATGTATACTTCTTAGCTAAATATATCATATCTATATCATATCACGACCATTTTCTTTAGATATGCCTTTGTTAAATGGCTTTACGTTATTGTATATGTATGTTCATCTAGTTTCGTTTGAAAAAAGTACGTTGATAAATCAGTATAAATTCGAAATATCAATACATACATACGTATCAAACCAGGCAAAACTCGGTTAATAACTGCCGTCTCTTCAACTGCATTCTCATGTTAAACTTCCATGCCTTCATCTGATCGTTTTCCTGCTTTATTTAATTTTAGTTCAGCTGCCAAATTAGTTTTCTCCGTACGCGTATGCCAAACCAGTACATCTCGACAATTATTTGCTAAGGGTTGAAGTTGTTGTTTTGTTGTTATGTGTCGCAAAATCTCACTTTCTTGGTAGCCACGTTCCACTTCATAAGCAAATTGTGCCTGTGGATATTTGAATAGCAAATCCGTGCTAATGGCAAATGCCGCCATATCTATGGGAAATGGTCGTTCTGGCCGCCATGCAGCATTAAAGCCAACAACTTGGGTTTTATCAGCATTGAGTAATGGTTTTTCCACCATTAGACCACCTACTAAACCGACTGGCCATATACCAACTCGGCCAGCTTCAATTTTTGTCATTTCAGCAAAAAGTTCAACACTGTAAGAATTGTCATCATCCATGAAAAATAATACACTTTGCCGTTGTGGATCTACATTTGTGCGTATCCAACTTAGTGCAAAATTTCGTTGTTCAACGCCACGTGGTTTCAGCCAATTGGGATCTTTGCCTCTTAATTTAAAATTGACCGGGGTTTTAATGTGGAGATGTGTTGAACGTTCTGCCAAACCAGCACGCGTCAATAAGTTGCGCACAAGTGACGTAGTTGTATTAGCGTCTTCAATGATGATCCAATGCAAGTTGGGCACAAGCATGAAAATATGAGACAATCTGTATAAGTAAATAAACCTCGTTAGGAATTACAAGAAAATAAACAACAAAGGCTATTTTGGATAGCGTAGCTCTCTAAACCACTTTTGTACTTGAATAAACCCATATTAACATAAGTACAAACATACACACATACCTCGTTAATTCAGCTTTTTGCGATGGCCGTGCATACGTTGGTGTTATGGCATAAATTGTTGGTAAAGTGCCTTCCACATGCCGAGCGTACATGGTCTGTAAAAACTCCGGACCCTGGCATGTGCGTTTACCATTACGATGAACCATCAGCAATATCACAAGGAACACTATAATAAGTACGAGTACTTGTCGTGGACGGATACGCATTTCAGACATGTTGAAGATATGTACATATAACTTATTTTATTAGCTCGAATTGCTGATGCAGCGGAAAAAATTTACACAAGCACAAGAAAGACCTAGGTAACCACGTAAAAGTAAATAAATTAGAGTACATATCCTACGTATTAAATTTCAAAGCGCACTACATGCTTAGGCATGCCAACGATGTATCGATGTTTTTGAAACATCGATAATTTAGTTCAAAATTCGATGTTAGCCATCGATGTTAACAATTTACTAATACGATGTTTCCACACTTCGTAATTCGCTAAGTAATTCGTGAATTGCATTGTTTCCACGCCACACTTTAGTAATTCGTTTGGCAACTATAGTTCTTGTTCTTCGCTATTTATTATTATTTTTGTGTACTGCAAATATCGAAAATAGAGCTAAAATTTAAGTTATTGTCAACAATTTTAATTTATATAGAGAATATTTGGGTGGGCTTTAGTAGTCAGCCGCACCTTGTGTTTTAAGAAAACCAG